CAGCCGCGGCAACGCGCTTAAAGGCACAGAGCTGGCCTGGCACGGCCTGGGGGGCACCGGCCCCCCCCTGCCCGCTGAGGGGAACGGGGCGTGGGGAGCGGGCAGGGAGAAGGGGAAATGGGGGACAAAGCGCCGGGGAGGAGGGACGGGGGTGGTTTGGGGGCGCGGGGATGGGCGCGACGGATGTGGTGGCGTCGGTGGTGTCCTTGTGGGGAGGGGGTGTGGGGGGTCCCCACTGTGGCAGTGCAGTGTGGGGGGGTCTTCCTTTGCCCCCCTCCTGGCGCCTAAGGGTGGGGGTGCATGGGGGGGTCACCCTGTTTGGTGGCTCTGACCCTGGCACAGCGACCCTGGCTCTGACCCTGGCACAGCGACCACGCCGGCACTGCCACCACACCAGCACCGTGACCACGCTGGCACTGTGCCCATGGCGGCACCGTGGCCGTGATGGCACCACAGGGACCATGACCACACCAGCACAGTGACCACGATGGCACCGTGACCAGATGCCACCACACGCCGACACGGTGACCACCCTGGCATCGCCACCACGCTGGCACCACAACCACACCAGCACAGTGGCCACACTGCCACGGTGACCACTCTGGTGCTGCCACCACACCATCACCGTGGCCGTGCCAGCACCACCACCACCAGCACCACGACGCCGGCACGGCGCTCGTGCCAGCCCGGCGCAGCCGCTCCCCGCTGCCACCTTGGGGGATTTTGCGAGCCTTTAATTGTCGTAAGCACAGATTAATTAAGCAGCGATAAACACAAACCCATGCATTATTGATGAATAAGGGTGAGTTCAGGTTGGTGCGATCGGTGTAATTAAATATAAACCTCAAGCTGCCCATTGTTAACGGACAAATTACATTACTATTGCGACACGTGTCGGGCGCCGCGGCCGGGAAGGGGCTCCTGCCCCAGATCCACGACCCCCTGGCCTCCGGAGAGGGGTGGGGGGCAGGAGTGGGGACCCCCCAGTGCCGGGGGCAGGCCCTTCTCCAGCGCATCCATCCTGGATCCGTGAGCAGCGAGGGTGGTGCTCCACAGGGCCGGGGACACGTCACCAGCCCCTGGATCCGTGGGGATGGCAGGAGAGACAGGGGGGCCCTGCTTGGCCCTGCTGGGGTGGGACACACGTGGGTCATGTGCACACACACACACACACATGTGCACACACATGTGCACACACATGTGTGCACACACATGGGTGCACACACA